CCCAATCCCAAATAACTAATATTTCGGGACGTTCTGTTCTTCAAGAATTTAATTATTCTTCTAAAAATTCACACAAATCCAAAGGAGCTGTCTTGCTTTATTTTTTTACGCAAAATAACGTTGAAATTTGTGCTCCACAACTAAAAAAAACACTCCTTTTGGTTGAAAAAGAAAGTACTTTTTCTACGACATGAAATAAAGTACGCATTTTATTAAAATAAAAGAAAATACTTTTTCTACATCATACAAAGTACTTTTTTTGTTAAAAAAAGAAAAAAAGTACTTTATCTATAACATGAAAAGAAAGTACTATTAATAATATTTTTATTTAGGGGGTGGGGTGGGGTGGAGGGGGTGGTGTAGCTCCTCTCTCAACAAGTAAAAAAAATACAATCTCTTCAATCTCGCTTCAACAATCGCTTTCGACGAAGCAACNATGGGGGTCAGTGGGTGGGGACGGGGATAGTTTGGTGGGGAAGGTTGAAAAAGAGTTTTAGAAAATATTTTTTCTTCTTTGATAGAAAAAATATTTTCTTTTTCCTCCAATTGAAGTAAAATAAGTTCATGAGAAAAATATTTTTCAAAATATTTAAGCTAACCACATATAAAAAAAATTAAAAAATATTTTTCTTCATACCAAACACACCCTAAATGTTACATACGACCAAGTTTTTCCTTTGCGACATTATTTGTTTAGCTCGGAATTTTTCTACAACTTCCGGCTCTTTCAATGCATCCTTAGCATCTGACGCTTAATTTTTATATTAAAATGTCAACTATTGGCTTTTCTTTTCAAACAATACATATTACAATATTATATATATATATATATATATATATATATATATATATTGCTAATTTACAAGTTTGCTAGATCCAATAATGCGGATAAGTCCATAAATGGGGGACAAGTTCATACTAGGAAAGTTAATATGTTTCTTGTGACAATCACTCGATAAGCATCTTAGATATATTGATCCAGAATTTTAACTTGATGAGTTCGACCTTTAAATTATTTATCACTAAACTCATTTTATTTTAAAAATTATAGGTTCAAATATAACATTGATTGTTTTTTTTTTTTTTTTTGGCTAACAAGGGAACTTGCAGTCGCTACTCTTCAAGTGTATACAGGGTAAACTTCGCTCCTGTATAATAACCTGCAAATCACTCACAAGAATAAATCATACTAGGCAAAGCTCCATGCATCAGGCTCAACTGAGGAGGTATGCAAGTGAGTTTTGTACCCTAGGTCTCCTATTTGAAATTTATTTAAATATGTTTTCACATAAAATGATTATGAGCCTGTTTGGCCATGAATTTTTTTTCACTTTTTTTCTTTTCGAAAACCGTAAAATTTTCAATTTTCACTTGAAGATGAATTTTGAGATTTTTCGAAAATTTGAAAAACTTCAAAAAGCTGTTTTTCAAAATTTTCAATCAAATCACTCATAAAAATTCAAAAACAACTGAAAATTATATTCATACCTAAACATAACTCTAATTTTCAAATACTATTTTCACTTGAAAAAAAAATATTTTTCGGAATTTTACAATTCTTATGTCCAAACGCCCACTATATTTCGCTTCGAAAATATTAGATCCCAAGAACTAAGTGCTTCATGAAACATCATAACCTGTCTTTCAGAAGTACTCAAACTGAGACGACCTCTTGCCCAGTTGAAATTTAATTTCCTTTGACTTCTACCAACTTAAGAGCTAGCACATTGGCAATTTCTAAATAGTTTTGTGATTTTTTTCAAACTTTGGGAATAATTAACTTTTCGATAGAAAGCGATCTATTCCTAGGAATCTACTTGACTCACATTAAAAAGTAATCGCATTAATAAAATTTCATATATCAATGAATACACGAAAGAAAATATTCAATGAAAAATATTAAAGGATAAGGGTGATAGAAAGATTGAAATAATCCGCCACCCATTTAAATCATCTTGATTTGGCAATTGATTAGAAACTACCCCGATTTATCATTTAGTGAAG